AGCAGGGCCTCTCCTGATGATCTCAGGGCCATCAATGTCAGATGGGATAGTKCAGATGCTGGATCAGYACAGTACTTGGCTGCTATAATGAACTAGATGAGCATGTGGAAAACTAACATTGAATTCCAACATTATGGACATTTTGTGGATATTTTTGGATCCAAGGATAGGATCAGCGAAATCAGGTTAACAACATCCCGCCTCGCCTTCAGGAGGAAATTAAAAACGTAGTTATGGGACCAGGCCTTTGGGTACCTGGCAGACAAGTGACAATGGCAATGATGATAAGGTTATGGAAAATGGACTATGGATAGGCTTCCGATTATGTTATGCTCGCTGAATTCATTTCTGCATAAGGCTAGACAGCCTGTATTATTGTACTTTTTATTAATGTACTTTTAAACTAATTTTTAAATTAATCTACATATCATTTATATGTAATTATTGTATGTATTATTTATATGTAATGGCATTGAATTCTGCTTGATGTAAGCCGCCCTGAGTCCCCCCCCCCCCCAGGGGGAGGGTGTTGAGAAGGGTGGGGTACAAATGTTCAAAATAAATAAATAATAAATAATTTTTTTTATTATAAGTGCCYTGCCCTTGATAGGTTTGACTCTTTCTAATGGAATAAACTAAAGCCCTGCCTTGATTTCTGAAACATGAAGGAGTGCTACTTCATATATGCACATTCCTGAGATAGCTTGTTTATTTTAACTTTTGTTGTACTGTGGGTTGTATTTTGTATGTGTATGTGTTAAATGTGTTTGCCAAGTGTTTTGATATGGCCGATGGGCTAATCGGTAAAACATACTACTACTTTCCTGAGAAGTAAGGTATGCTGGAGAAGTGTTTCTCCATGACCTATGAACAAGAGTAGTATAATAAGGGGAATCAGGAAAAACCCTTATTTGTTATGGTATCCCATTTTTTTTAATATCTTCCCTTTGAAGGCCCAATAATCAATGACGTTGATTTCACTCTGCAACAAGTTGAGAACTATCTTTTTCTTAAAACCTTTCATAGTTAACAATCTTGCTCAAATCCATATAAGCATGTTTGGTTTTAAACTGTTTTAAATAATTTTGTGTAGTCTAAACTTCTCAAATTGCTAAAGTATGGCTCATTATTTGAAATTTATCTTGCCACTTCATCACATGAGCAAACGGATCCATCATATGATGCTTCCAGCACAGTTCCTGGATGGAGTCAGATGGATCCCATTAAATGATGCACAACTATTTCCGGTGGGGCTCCATTTGTGAACTGTGCTGGAAGTTTCATACACCAAAGCAAGGAGAACACAGGAGGCTTCCCGTATTCTCATAGGGTAGAATGGGGGAAACATGAGGGGAAGCCGAGTTGTGGACCGGGTTGTGGCGTAGTGGGCTAGGAGCCAGCTGCATTAAATCTTCACTGCTCTGAGATAAGCTGCTTTGTTGAAGCAAACACAGAAACCTGACTGATAGGTTATGAGTTCGAAGCTCCCAACCATTTGTCTAGCTTGCTATCGACCTTTGCAGCCCGAAAGACAGTTGCATCTGTCAAGTAGGAAATTTAGGTACCGCTTATGTGGGATGGCTAATTTAACTAATTTATGACACCATAAAAATCTCCAGCAGCGGGTGAAAGAATGAGGAAGTACTCCATTAAGGACTCTGTGCCACAAGTGGAACTACAGTTAGGTGGATCTGTAATTGGTTAAATGGACGAACCCAGAGGGTGCTCACCAATGCTTCCTCTTCATCCTGGAAAGAAGTGACGAGCGGAGTGCCGCAGGGTTCCGTCCTGGGCCCGGTCCTGTTCAACATCTTTATTAATGACTTAGATGAAGGGTTAGAAGGCAGGATCATCAAGTTTGCAGATGACACCAAATTGGGAGGGATAGCCAATAGTCCAGGGGACACAACGGAAAAATTTGTTTCTAAAATCGATTTGTATTTGGGGGGTTTTTGTTTCGATATTTAAAATAATTACAAAATTTTCCTTTTAAAAAGTTCGATATTTACGAAATTTCGTAAATGGTAAAAAATTAACGAATCGATTTCCGAAACAATAACGAAACGATTCGTTAATGGCGGACGCGACCGCGAAATACGCTAAAAAACCTCCAAAACCTTCTGAAGCTTCCCTCTCCCTCTGTTGTTGACTGTTGGTGTGATATTATAATTTTTTTTCACTAATTAAACCATAAAACTGGCCCAGACATGCGGAAATAATAACGAAACGACCTCAAAACAATAACGAAACGAATACAATATCGAAATACGAAGCATTTACAAAACATTTTTGAAAATTCGTTTTTTTTAATAATTGCTCCAGAATGGTTCGTTATCGTTTTGTAATTGAAAAAATTAACGAATTATTAACGAATTACGAATTAACGAAACGAAACCGCCTAGCCCTAATAGCCAATACTCCAGAGGACAGGAGCAGGATTCAAAGCGATCTTGACAGATTAGAGAGATGGGTCAAAACTAACAAAATGAAGTTCAACAGGGACAAATGCAAGATACTCCACTTTGGCAGAAAAAATCAAAATGCAAAGATACAGAATGGGGGACAATGCCTGGCTCGAGAGCAGTACGTGTGAAAAAGATCTTGGAGTCCTCGTGGACAACAAGTTAAACATGAGCCAACAATGTGATGTGGCGGCAAAAAAAGCCAATGGTATTTTGGCCTGCATCAATAGGAGCATAGTGTCTAGATCTAGGGAAGTCATGCTACCCCTCTATTCTGCTTTGGTTAGACCACACCTGGAATATTGTGTCCAATTCTGGGCACCACAATTCAAGAGAGATATTGACAAGCTGGAATGTGTTCAGAGGAGGGAGACTAAAATGATCAAGGGTCTGGAGAACAAGCCCTATGAGGAGTGGCTTAAGGAGCTGGGCATGTTTAGCCTGAAGAAGAGAAGGCTGAGAGGAGATATGATAGCCATGTATAAATATGTGAGAGGAAGCCACAGGGAGAAGGGCTTGTTCTCTGCTTCCCTGGAGACTAGGAAACGGAACAATGGCTTCAAACTACAACAAAGGAGCTTCCATCTGAACATGAGGAAGAACTTCCTGACTGTGAGAGTTGTTCAGCAGTGGAACTCTCTGCCCCGGAGTGTGGTGGAGACTCCTTCTTTGGAAGCTTTTAAACAAAGGCTGGATGGCCATCTGTCAGGGGTGCTTTGAATGCAATATTCCTGCTTCTTGGCAGGGGGTTGAACTGGATGGCCCATGAGGTCTCTTCCAACTCTATGATTCTACGATTCTATGACCGTGAAGCGACAGCTCCCCCAGTGGCCAGAATTTGAACTTACCCTCATGAAGATCAAATTGCCTCTGTGTTTGTCTATATATGTTGTGGGTCTCTGGCATTGAATGTTTGCCATGTATATGTATACTGTAGTCTGCCCTCAGTCCCCTGACAGGTGAGAAGGGCAGAATATAAATACTGTAAACATACAAACAAACAAACAAATAATGCAATAAAGCTTACTCCCATGGGATGGGGAAGTGGGGTGATGTGTGCAATGGAGAGTTTGGGACAATGCGTCCCCGCTCTGCCCGCCGGATTTGCCCCGCTGTCCAATGAATGTCCCTGCTGTTCCTAAGCTTCAGGACATCAATGTGATAAGGTCCATGGACCTTCACTACTCTGCTTTGTTGAAGCAAACACAGAAACAAAGTAACTCAAAACTTTATTATTTGTATTCAGTTAATTCTACTGTAGAATACAGGATCACAGCTATGAAGGTCCAAGCAGAAGGTTTGCAATGTAACAGTGATAATCATCCATTTAGAAGCAGCAATGACAACAAAAAGCAGGCTATAGTTGCTTTTAAACATTAAGACTTTGAACTTGTTTTGTCCCACACAAGATCATTTCACAACTGTTTCCCAAAACAACTGCTTTCACCTTAGTTCATGAAATGTCTTCCCCTTTAAGTTAGGGTTTTGTTTTATTTTGTCATGTCAGGAGCAACTTGAGAAACTGCAAGTCACTTCTGGTGTGAGAGAATTGGCCGTCTGCAAGGACGTTGCCCAGGGGACGCCCAGATGATTTGATGTTTTTATCATCCTTGTGGGAGGCTTCTCTCATGTCCCTGTATGAGGAACTGGAGCTGATTGAGGATTAGGGTTGTTAGGGTGGTATCCAGTAATGCGATTCAGTGTGTACTTAATTGAAAATCTGATTTTTTTTCTCCTGCTAACAGTGTAATAACTCACATGCTTATCTTTAAGATTCTGAATTCTGAGAAGCATTTTTCCTTCTTTTTTTTCCTGGATAAAAACTGGAATTTCACCAAAAAAATGTGTGAGAAATATTTTTGTATGTAAATTTTCAAGTTAAAAGCTATCTATAGTTGTGTGTATATGTGCCTTCAAGTTACCCATTAATTTATGGCAATCTCATGAATTCCATAGGATTTTTCTAAGACATGGAATACCCAAGATGTGATTTTGCCAATTCCTTCTTCTAAATCGTTACTTAAACTATTTTACTGATTTTTTTTTTGTTGTGTCAGGAGCGACCTGAGAAACTGCAAGTCACTTCTGGTGTGGGAGAATTGACCGCCTGCAAGGATGTTGCCCAGGGGACATGCAACGATTCCCTTCTCCTACTGGGAGCCCCCGGTGGCGCAGTGGGTTAAACCCCTGTGCTGGCAGGACTGAAGACCAACAGGGCGCAGGTTCGAATCCGGGGAGAGGCGGATGAGCTCCCTCTATCAGCTCCAGCTCCTCATGCGGGGACATGAAGAAGCCTCCCACAAGGATGATAAAAACATCAAATCATCCAGGCGTCCCCTGGGCAACGTCCTTGCAGACGGCCAATTCTCTCACACCAGAAGCGACTTGCAGTTTCTCAAGTCGCTCCTGACACGACAAAAAAAACCCTATAAATTCCTACTCATGTCTCCGCATGAGGAGCTGCAGCTGATAGAGGGAGCTCATCCGCCTCTCCCCGTATTCAAACCTGCGACCTGTCAGTCTTCAGTCCCTGGCACAGGGGTTTAACCCACTGCACCACCGGGGGCTCCACTGATAGCTCTATTGTAAAGCAAAGGTTAAAGCACATTTTCAACATTAGTGGTCACTCATTTTCTCTGGATGAGTTGCAATTAGGAAAAAGGAAGTAGCAGAAAAGGGAGGATAGAGCAAGGATTCAAATCTCAGTGTCCCAAATCGTAGTCCAATGTTCAAACCACTATATCACACTGGCTCTCCAATTAAATATGTTATGGCAAAATATTTATTTCCTGAGTCCTCCTCATCAACTGAAGGATTTTGCAGTATATATGTTTTGAAGCTCTGAGACCCCAGATGAAATCAAAGTGGTTCCAGACAGACAATTTTTGTTGGTAAACTAGGTTAGTAATGCGTGAAAGTAAAACTGTTGTATCTTCTAGGCTGGCGAGCAAGTCATTTCCACCAGACCATACTGCAGTTGGCACGAGCATGTCTTCTACTTTGTATGAAGGAGGATAGCTCTGGAAAGCATGAACAAAAAATAAATAAAATAAAAATAAATTTAAAAAAACAGTTAAAATACAATGAGATTACATCATGGAAAATATTGTCGTCCTCTAGAGATGGAACTAATATATTGAATATGCTTTGGTACCATAACACACTTCTACGTTTGTGTAGTGTATTGTGTTTTAAGGCCCCCTGGTGGCATAGTGAGTTAAACCACTGAGTTGCTGAACTTGCTGACCAAAAGGTTGGTGGTTCGAATCCGGGGAGCAGAGTGAGCTCCTGCTGTTAGGTCCAGCTTCTGCCAACCTAGCAGTTCGAAAACATGCAGTAGATCAATAAGTATCACTTCTGCAGGAAGGTAACAGCGCTCCATGCAGTCATGCTGGCCACATGACCTTGGAGGTGTCTGTGGACAACACTGGCTCTTCGGCTGAACACGACTAGACTTGATGCCAAGGGAAAACCTTTACCTTTTTATTGTGTTTTAACAATAGTAAACATACGTTTTAAAAAATAACTACAAAATGCAAAAGAATAAAAACCTTGTAGTGTTTTCCAGCAGACAACTTTAGAAAATGCTTATACATAATCTATATAAATAAAAATGTAATGTTCGTTTGTGGGATTAACAGAACTCAAAAACCAGTGGGGGAATTGACACCACATTTGGACACAAGAAACCTAACAACCCAATGTATGTCCTTCACTCAAAAAATTGATTTTGTCATTTGGGAGTTATACTTGCTGGGATTTATAGTTCACCTACAATCAAAGAGCATTCTCAACGTATTGTCGAAGGCTTTCATGGTCGGAATCACTGGGTTGTTGTAGGTTTTTCGGGCTATATGGCCATGTTCTAGAGGCATTCTCTAGAGACACTGCCCACCAAACCCTTCCAGTATTTTCTGTTGGCCATGGGAGAACTGTGTGCCAAGTTTGGCTCAATTCCATCGTTGGTGAGGTTGAGAATGCTGGGTTGTGGTAGGTTTTTCGGGCTATATGGCCATGTTCTAGAGGCATTCTCTAGAGAGTCCCCTGTGGGTTGAGAAGGGCAGAATAGAAATACTGTAAATAAATAATATTTTTTGTATATTGTTGAATTGTCGCATCAAATTGTGCCAAAGAGTAAGTTACATAAGAGTAAGTTACAAATTGTGCCAAAGAGTAAGTTACATAAGAGTAACTTATGTAAGTTACTCTTGGTGAGAAGAGCAGGATATAAATATAGTAAGTAAGTAAATAAATATATGTTAAAAGTTATTGCTACTTCAGTGGTTTTGCATATCCATGTGAAGTCAGGGAATATACCCCCCTGCAGATACTGTGCGTTGTGCACAATCATACATACATGGAGTTGGTAGTGGGCCATTCTGTGTGAAAGCACGTGTAATATGTCTGACTGCTCCATCTTTCTCACATTCTCTATAACTGCTGAGGCAATTTACCTGTTTGAACCTATCTCCCCTTACGAACCATTGAGGACATTAAGATCGTCTGGGGAGAACCTGTTCTTGCTCCCGCCTTCGTCACAAGTACGTTTGGCGGGTACGAGAGACAGGGCCTTCTCAGTGGTGGCCCCTCGGCTACGGAACGCCCTCCCCAAGGAGATCATATCAGCTTCGTCGCTCCTAACATTTCGGAAAAAACTTAAAACATGGCTGTTCGAGCAAGCATTTGCAAATATCGAGTAATGGACATAGGAAAACGGAACAATTATATGTTGGAATTGGACAATGTTTTTATTGCTGTTGCTTTGATTGTATTGCTGTTAGTGTTGTACTGTGTTTTTCTGGCATTGAATTTTGCCTTGAAAACCACCTCGAGTCGCCAGAGGGCTGAGAGGGGCGGTATACAAATAAAGTAAGTAAGTAAGTAAGTAAGTAAGTAAATGCCTGAAGGAACTACTTCATATCCACTGAATTTGTACTGAGAAAAGAAACAGGCAAGCAACCAAATATAACATTTCTACGATCAATCAGATATTAAGAATTTGAGATTTTGTATTGTCGAAGGCTTTCATGGCCGGAATCACTGGGTTTTTGGAGGTTTTTTCGGGCTATATGGCCATGTTCTAGAGGCATTTTCTCCTGACATTTCGCCTGCATCTATGGCAAGCATCCTCAGAGATAGTGAGGTCTGTTGGAACTAGGAAAATGGGTTTATATATCTGTGGAATGACCAGGGTGGGACAAAGGACTCTTGTCTGTTGGAGCTAGGTGTGAATGTTTCAACTAACCACCTTAATTAGCATTTGATGGCCTGTCAGTGCCTGGGGCAATCTTTTGTTGAGAGGTCATTAGATGTGCCCGATTGTTTCCCCTCTGTTGTTTGGTTCTAAAATTACAACAGCAAATTACAACAGCTATATAGCACGAAAAAACTTACAACAACCCAATCTGAGATTTGTATCCCTTTGCTTAATATCTATACTGGGATGAGAGCACAAAAAGTGTTCAATTTGTAAACCTATCTAATTTTAAATTATATTTACTATACATTTTTTTCCTTTTACCTGATTATATATCATCAGATTGTCACTCCCATAGTCAAAATGTCGGAATAGTCCTGTGGTCTGTTAAAAGAAGAAGGAATGTTACATTGCATGGTACCTCTATTATTAGTCATTGTCAAGTGCATTTTAATGGAGGAATGTCACAGTGTGTATACGTTTTCAAATCAACTGCCTATGGTGAATCCATAAATTTCATAGCTTTTTCTTGGGCAAGGAATATTCAGAGATGGTTAATCATTCTATTTTGCAACTAAATCTATATTGTAAATGTTTTCTAATAAAAGAACATAGCTGAGGACATGATTTATATTTATCATGACTTCTCAGGGGATTCTGAGGACATTCAATCTCAGCTGCACGGCAAATATAAATCTCCAGATTTTTTGATAGAAGCTTAAAGACTGTAAATCTATATAAATAAAATTGTGAAGTTCGTTTGTGGGATTAACATAACTCAGAAACCACTGGACGAATTGGCACAAAATTTTGACACAATATACCTAACAGTCCAACGAGTGTTCATCATATATATACACACACAAACACACAAACACACATATATACACAGATACACAAATATATAAACACATATACACACACACACAAAAACACATATATACAGACAGGGCCACAGCAATGCGTGGCAGGGGACGGCTAGTTCACAATATATATGTATCCATGCAGCACAAATTTTGTTTAAAATGTACAACCCACTACCTGTTTCCAATGTAAAATGTTTTTAACTGATGTTCCATCAGGATAGTGAGCTGCATACACATCTATACGGCTCTGGGGAAAAATGAAAAGTCAATAGGAAAAAATGAAAAGTCAATAGGAAAAATATGTACCAAAGAACTGATAGTGAGGAAAATCCAATTAAAATCAAATATTTCCATGCAGTTCTTCTTTTACATATTATTATTGAGAAACAGATAATACGGCCATAATAAGAGGCATTAAAATATACATACTAGTCTCTTTGATAATTAGCCATATCTCTAAAAGTAGAATGCAACCAGAAGAGGGCAAGCAAGAGTTGAAATAGCAACCTGCAGATGTATATGGATTACAATGCAGCAATCCTCATAATGTGCTGTTGGCTAGAGCAGCCAAGCTTTCTTGGAGTTGTGACACAGCCACACCTGTTCATGAAACTAAAATCAAAGACTGCCTTTTATGCAGGAAGTCCCCAAATTACAAATATCTGACTTACAAATGATTCATAGTTAAGAACGGGGGTAAGACAATCACATCTTCATTATGTATATTTTCTGCAGTAAATCCCTAGTCCATAAAATATATTATTGAACGCAGAAAACACAGAGCAAAGTGGTTTTATGATATTTATATGTTTTAATTGTTTAATGCATTTATGTATTTTATTTATGTTGTTGAATATGTGCCATTAACTATTGCCATTTGTACGCTGCAAAGGTGCGAAGAGCAGCATAGAAATAGGGTAAATAAATAAACAAATAAGAATTATGCATGCAGATGAATTTCCAAATATTTATAGCTATAGAATGATATCGTAAACAGCTACTACATATCTGCATGGATCTTTCCTGTATCTACATAACAAATGTGTAAAGCCATTCCAGTTGCCTTGCTCATTGTGGCTTCCTTAGTTGAGAAAGCACCATGTAATGGAATAACTAATTATAATGGAGATTTGGCTGTGTTTATTAATGTTGATTTTATGACAAGGGCAGGCAAGAGTTGGCTACATATGATTGGTCGATGCGTCGCCTCTGCAGTAGAAATATATCCATTTTAGAGAGGCTAGTAAGAAAAAGGGGTAGAGCTAACTGTGAAGAGGGAACATTTTAAAAATGAGTCAGTCTCTAGCTAGGAGAGCTAGAATGAAGAGGTTCCTAGTTTAAGTTTGAGTCTTCAACTGTGATGTTAAAGTAATAAAGAGACCATTTTGAGTCAGGCTCTAGTCTGTGAACTAGAGGGAAGAAGATCCTTGTATAGGATTATACCTCAGTTGTAGTACTGATACTGAAGTAAAAAGGAGACTAATTTGAGTCTAAGTTCTCAGTCAAGTGTAACTGAGAATAGAGAGTTATTCGAGAAGTTTACAATCAGACTACTGATGGATAGAAGAGTCTACAGGACATAAGTTATCCAGTTCGAAGAATGAGAAGGAATTGCATTTGAAAAAGAAGGAAGTTATATAACCATGTTGACATAAGCAAAACTGTTCTGAAAGTTATATAGTAATAGCTTTATGATTCACAAGAGTAAAAGATGGATGTAACAATATCCAGGTGGAACTGTGTAACAAATATGCTTTATGTGCATAAGAATTCATAAATAAATATTTCTTTGTTTCAATTAATATATTAAAGTCTCGTGTCGAGTTACAGGTCTGAAGTTACATTCCTGAAAAATCAGCTGGAGATCAGCTGTGTAACAAATATGCTTTATGTGCATAAGAATTCATAAATAAATATTTCTTTGTTTCAATTAATATTTTAAAGTCTCGTGTCGAGTTACAGGTCTGATCAGCTGTGTAACAAATATGCTTTATGTGCATAAGAATTCATAAATAAATATTTCTTTGTTTCAATTAATATATTAAAGTCTCGTGTCGAGTTACAGGTCTGAAGTTACATTCCTGAAAAATCAGCTGGAGATCAGCTGTGTAACAAATATGCTTTATGTGCATAAGAATTCATAAATAAATATTTCTTTGTTTCAATTAATATTTTAAGCTTTCGTGTCGAGTTACAGGTCTGAAGTTACATTCCTGAAAAATCAACTGGAGATCAACTGTGTAACAAATATGCTTTATGTGCATAAGAATTCATAAATAAATATTTCTTTGTTTCAATTAATATATTAAAGTCTCGTGTCGAGTTACAGGTCTGAAGTTACATTCCTGAAAAATCAGCTGGAGATCAGCTGTGTAACAAATATGCTTTATGTGCATAAAAATTCATAAATAAATATTTCTTTGTTTCAATTAATATATTAAAGTCTCGTGTCGAGTTACAGGTCTGAAATTACATTCCTGAAAAATCAGCTGGAGATCAGCTGTGTAACAAATATGTTTTATGTGCATAAGAATTCATAAATAAATACATCTTTGTTTCAATTAATATATTAAAGTCTCGTGTCGAGTTACAGGTCTGAAGTTACATTCCTGAAAAATCAGCTGGAGATCAGCTGTGTAACAAATATGCTTTATGTGCATAAGAATTCATAAATAAATATTTCTTTGTTTCAATTAATATATTAAAGTCTCGTGTCGAGTTACAGTTCTGAAGTTACATTCCTGAAAAATCAGCTGGAGATTATATTGAAGCTACATATTGTCTACAGTATTGGGTACAGACATTTAAAAATAAAACCTGCAACAAACAAATATTAGAAAAGTGACACAGAGACTGGGATAGTGTATTTCATGGTGTGACTCCTAAGGTGCTGAGTTCCTGAGAGGTTTATTCTCCCCCCCCCCCCTTCTTCAGCATCATTGCCTGGTGCCTACGTATACATATAAGTTTATTGGTGACAGAAGATGACATATTAAAAATAAAATATAACTCTCTCTATAGATAGATAGATAGATAGATAGATAGATAGATAGATAGATAGATAGATGTTCCCCTTCCTGCCTGAAAAGGTTTGGTCCCATCTCGTCACATATGTACATAACACAACACACCACATGTGAGAAAATCATATTGGGAAATATTATTTTGGAGAAAGCTAACAAGCTGAGGGTGAATGGATAAAAGCAGCAGAAACTTCAGAATTCTGTATCTTGGAAGCAGAGACTGATATCTGTGATATGGTGGAAGAGAGCTAAACTAACACTTGCTGAGCTGAGTAATCACTTCTGGTTTGGAAACAGATCATGTACAGGCTCTGAATATCTCTATTTTCAAGACTTCTGATATATATGGAAAAACAAAATAAGAAAGCACATCAACACATAATATAATTGGTGAAATGTTTGCAGACAATTGCCCACTTTCACAGTTGCATAAAATATAATCCAGTAACTCAAATATATGGGCTCAAATATAGTGTTGGTTTTTCTTAAACAAAGTAGTCTTGTTCAATCAGTTGTCAGATGGTGAGTCCAGTGGATACAATAGGTCTATTTTAATTAGAGGAAAAAGGATTTAGGCCACTGTGCAACATTAAGTCTGGAAAAGATTTCATTGTGCTTTTAAAGCTTTTTAGCCCTCATTGGTGCAGCAGGTTAAACCACTGAGCTCTTGAACTTGCTGACCAAAAGGTCGGTGGTTCAAATCCAGGGAGTGGGGTGAACTCCTGCTTTTAGCCCCAAATTCTACCAACTTAGCAGTTCGAAAATATGCAAATGTGAGTAGATCAATAGGTACCGCTTCTGCGGGAAGGTAACAGCACTCCATGCAGTCATGTTGGCCATGGAGGCACTTATGGACAACACCAGCTCTTTGGCTTAGAAATGGAGATGATCACCACCCTCCAGAGTCGAACACGACTAGACTTAATGTCAAGGTGAAATCTTTACCTTTACCTTCTATTTGACCTTAATTTGTGAGCATCTGGAATATATAGTAGAAGAAAAATATTTGTATTAATTCTCTCATTTATTGTACTTTAAATCAGGCAGTTTTTCCCCAATGGTGTTAAAAGTATCAAAATTACAACTAAAGACAGCAATTTTTTTAAAAAAAGCAGCAGCAAATAAAACAGTAGTTGAAAACAGCAGCAGGATAAAAGTGAATAAGTACATTCAACTAAAAATGTTCTTAAAATGCCAAGAGAGAATAAAAACATTTTTCCAAAAATATCATCATATAGGGACTTTCTGAGTGTACCTCAGGATGCAGACATTTCACAAATGGGGGTTCCATCACTGAAAAGATCCTCTCCTATACCTTGCATAACTAAATACTAGGCATGGTTAGGTTCGGTCGGAATCTTCGTAATTCGGAATAAATTCGGAAAGATTTCCTTTTTGAAGCGATTTTAAAGTTTTTAAGGAACCCAGAAGTCCCTTTGCTCTTCCGAAGCTTTTTCTGCCATTTCTCTTACGAATCAGTAAGTGAGTCAGAAATTATTCAGCTTTTCAAACCAGTGTGGATGGATTCCCTTCGTTTCCTTTCCCTCTCGCATCAGTCTTGGGCGAGAGAAGCAGCTTAACCCAGTGTGGATGGATTCCCTTTGGTTTCCTTTCCCTCCCTTGTCTGTCTTGGGCGAGAGAAGCATTTTAAACCAGAGTTGATGGATTTCTTCCCTTTCCTCCCCCCCCCCTTTTTTTTGGAATAAAACAACTACTTTCAAAGTAAAGGCCACCCAATGAAACAGGAAAAAAACGCTTTGAAACTATTAACAAAGGATTTGGAAGTCTTGGAAATTTTGAAAAATTTTGAACTTGTTTTCTGTGAAAATCGGAATTGACTTTAGATCCGAACCACCAGCGCCCCCCTACATCCAAAATGAGTTTTGAACCATTTTTGGATCAAACAAGCCTACTAAATACATACCATGTTTAGATTGCTTGGATTGTATCCACTTGAAAATAAGAGGAGGTGTCCGCATAATTTCTTTGTCAGTACATATCTGCATAACGTGGTGATCATGTCTTTCATAGGCTTGCGTGACAGTATAAATTCTCTGCTGGCAGGCATATCCTGTGGAAATACAAAACATTGTGTATATGGATAGAAGTCCTGAAATCCAGTTGAATCTTCTTAGATATACAGAGAAAACTATCTAATTTGTTTTGCCTGAGTGTTACTTGAAGCACTTTTAGTGACTGGAATCTAATCTGGAAGGGTTTTATTACAGGTTGGATGTTAATATTTTCCCAAGATATTGAAAGGCATTGCAGTGTTGCTGAGATGTTATTTATAGGATTTTGAACTTGTGGCAACTGATGAGAATACCTTGTATGAGAAATCAGGAAGAAAGGATAACATTTTCAGTGTAGGGCTTCTAGCATGCTTTGTAGTAATCACAGGAGCCAAGGCAAAAAACATTTTGATTTTTTGAGACAGCTCTGGAATGGCTGAAAATGCTATGAAGCCTAAGGAAGAAAGAGTGAAACACAATAGTCACTTACAAGAGTTCATATCTGTGTTAAAGAAGTTCACTGATGCCAGCTAAGAACTCTACTCTTATCTATATAAAAAATGTAATCTTCATTTGTGGGATTAACATAACTCAAAAACCACTGGACGAATTGACACGAAATTTGGACACAATACACCTAACAGTCCAGCGAGTGTCCATCTCCCCAAAACACACACACACGCAAAACCCCAGCAGAACAGACTTAAAAACCCCAAAAATACATCATATATACATATACACATACACTCATATATATACACATGTACACATTCATACATACACACGTATATATATGCACAAACACACACAAATATACACATATATGCACACATACATATACATACACACATATATACATATACACTTGCACACATACATATATACATATACATATACACATATAGACACAAATATGCATATAGTCAAGCACACACATATACATAATATAAACACACAAATACACACACACACATATATACACACACATATATACACCTATTTATTATTATTTTATTTTGAACATTTTTACCCTGCCCTTCTCAACCCCTGGGGGGACTCATGGCGGCTTACAATTGGCAACCTACACACACATCTATATATACATAAATATATATACACACACATAAACACATATATACACACACAAAACACATATACACAGACTGGGCCACAGCAACATGTGGCAGGGGATGGCTAGTCATATTATAAAAAATCTTTGGTAGGTTTTTCTTTTAAAATTAGTCATTAGAAGAACACACTGTAATTAGTACATTTTATTGATTAGCTCATTGGCCATATCAAAACATTTGACAAACACATTTAACACATACACATACAGCATACAGCCTACTATACAATATAAGTTAAAATAAACAAGCTGTTAACAAGGTCTTAATCCAGATAAAATATCTGCATTACACACTGTAATTTATCTTGTTCTACCACTGGGATCTCATCCCTTTATCTCAAACTTTTTCTGAAAAACCCTTTATTACTCCCCACAAATGAATCAAACAAAGTTGTGAAAGTAATATGTAATAATTAGGCATACCAATAGTGCATCCTTGGGAATGGCCAACATAATAGAGTTGTTTCTGTTGAGTTTTCTTCAAAACAAAATTGATCATTGCTGGAAGATCATAGATGCCCATTTCATGAAAACTGAAATACAAAATTAAACAACTGGGATTTAAAATATTCAAAAATTGGTAGAAGTTAGATTTTATTTATTTATTTATTGCATTTCTTCTGACCCCTGGGGGTACAACATGACAAAATGGCAAAAATTCAATGCTGAACATACATATCAAACCAATACATAACAGAACTAAATAATAGCACATAAATATGAATTTATTGCAAACTATACAATTCAAAGTGCTGGCTTTGGCCTATAAAGCCCTAAACGGCCCTGGCCCAATTTACCTGTCTGAACGCATCTCCTCCTATGAATCATCGTGGAGATTAAAATCTTCCGAGGAGGCCCTGCTCACCATCCCACCACTGTCACAGGCATGATTGGTGGGGAGAAAGATAGAGGGACTTCTTTGTGATTGCCCCCTGGCTATGGGACTCCCTTCCTAGTGAGATCACATTGCCCCCCTCCCTTCTGTTCTTTAGAAGGGTGGTAAAAACCTGGCTGTGGGACCAAGCTTTCAGGACAGTGCAATAAAGCAGTGTTACCTTACCAGGCCAATTAGATTAGACACAGATGATCAAGACGGTTTTAAACAGTATATTTTAATACTGAGACAAACATTTTTAATGTTTATGTATGAATATAATGAATTCTTGTCCCGGCATTGAATGTTTGCCGTATATATGCTGTGCTCTGCCCTGAGTCCCCTTCGAGGTGAGAAGGGCAGAATATAAATGTTTTAAATAAATAAATAAATACAAAGACACATCATAACATGAACATAAAACATATTAAACATTGCATCAGTCCCATGATTATAATTTAGCTGCTTCAGTAATACTATCACTTGCCAAACACCTGCTTGCATAGCCATGTTTTCACCTTTTTTCTGAAAGTCAAGAGGGAAGGGGTTGATCTAATATCACTGGGGTGGAAGTTCCACACCTGAAGGGCCACCACCGAGAAGGCTCTGTCTCTCATCCCCACCAATCACACCTAGGAAGGTGGCGGGAGCAGGACCTCCGCAGCTGATCTTAGCGCTCAAACTGGTTTTTGCTTGCAAACCTTTCATTTTGCGTTTTCTTTTCCACAAAAAATCCTCCTTCAATTACATGTTCTCAGGGATTCATTCTGCTTCTCAGAAAGCCATGTAACATCTTAGCTTCACTCTCAACATGTTGATATGTAGAAATCTAGAGAGAAAACTTGAGATCCATGAAATTTTCTATGATGAATATCTGTTCATGGAAAAAGTATCCTGGAAGTATTGTTGAAAGAGGTTATATAATTTAAAATTTAAAACAAATAAAGAAATAATCAAGCAAAATTCAATTTAAATTAATAAACATTAAAGATACCAGACATGACTATGCTCTTTTCGTTTTGCAATCCTTATTACAAATTAAATTGAGGGTAAACAAGACTGGACTATTTCCTTTCCCATCCAAATTATAGGGAGGCATATTCCAAAGCAATTTTGCAGTGTTCTCTGCTTATGTTACAAGAACGATGACTACTATTATCTCAGTAACTGGCTGAATAAAGATATATGTTCCAAAAGTGATCAACAGATCAGCATAGTTAGAGAAGAATATAGCATGAATTGATACACCTTTCACTCTAAACCACCTGAAATCCCAATATTTTTCTTCATCAGCTGACAAATTCTGATGTTTCCGAGACCAGCTTGTTCCTCTGCTGTTTCCCAGCCAAACATCATAACCAGCATCCGCTAAGATGAAACCAAGGCTGTTGTTGGCCATATTTAGAACCCAGTGGCTAGCGTCGGCAAACAGTCCGTGCTGCAGAAAGGCAACAGGCTTTGAACCTGTTGTTATTTTAAAAAGAAAACTTTTAAATAAAAAAAGAACATTTGTTCCATCAAAACACAGGCATATATGATTACACTATCTTGCATTAATTTCAGTACATTATTTCAGTTGTTTTCTAGTTTTGTGTTACAGTATTACTAAAAGTTTCAGTCTATTTTGTGCAATAAAATAGCCAACTGCATGGATCTGAAATACTGTTACTTAATGGTTTGCTTTGGGTTTTTCTGGCTGTATAGACAAATACCCACCTAGAGGAAAAGTGTTCTTATCATGCATTGAGGGAGCTACTGACCACATGGGGAAGTTGATGGAGAAACACAACGTACAAACAATCTACAGACCGGGTTGTTGTAGGTTTTTTCAGGCTATATGGCCATGGTCCAGAGGCATTATCTCCTGACGTTTCGCCTGCATCTATGGCAAGCATCCTCAGAGGTAGTGAGGTCTGTTGGAACTGTTGGAACTAGGAAAAAGGGTTTATATATCGTTCTTTACGGATGGTGTGAATTCTCTCTCGTAAGAGGTTGTGTTCTAGGCGGTCATAGATCCGGTGAGCCTGTGGTGTTTTGAAAGTCCTTTTGGCTACAAGAAATTGTGGGATGGTATCTGTGTCTCTGCAGCGTAGAAGGAAAGTCAGGGAGCACAGTAGATGTGCTTTCCTGGCCCTTGGTTTTTCCAAATTTCGTGTGTCTTGGAACAGTTTCTCACCGTAGAGATGTTCAATGTATTGTCGAAGGCTTTCATGGCCGGAATCACTGGGTTGTTGTAGGTTTTTTTCGGGCTATATGGCCATGGTCTAGAGGCATTCTCTCCTGATGTTTCGCCTGCATCTATGGCAAGCATCCTCAGAGGTAGTGAGGTCTGTTGGAACTAGGGAAAAGGGTTTATATATAGTTCTTTGTGGATGGTGTGAATTCTCTCTCGTAAGAGGTTGCGTTACTGAGTTGTTGTAGGTTTTTATATAAACCCTTTTTCCTAGTTCCAACAGACCTCACTACCTCTGAGGATGCTTGCCATAGATGCAGGCGAAACGTCAGGAGAGAATGCCTCTAGACCAGTGGTTCTCAACCTGGGGTCCCCAGATGTTTTTGACCTACAACTCCCAGAAAACCCAGCCAGTTTACCAGCTGTTAGGATTTCTGGGAGTTGAAGGCCAAAAACATCTGGGGACCCCAGGTTGAGAACCACTGCTCTAGACCATGACCATACAGCCCGAAAAAACCTACAACCCAGTGATTCCGGCCATGAAAGCCTTCGACAATACATTGAACATCTCTACGGGGAGAAACCGTTCCAAGACACATGAAAATTGGAAAAACTAAGGACCAGGAAAGCACATCTACTGTGCTCCCTGACTTTCCTTCTACACCGCAGAGACACAGATACCATCCCACAATTTCTCGCAGCCAAAAGGACTTTCAAAATCTACAGACCCACTAAGAGTTTTTCAACAAATGCTACATTCAGCAAAAGATAAGAAGGATCCTCTAACCAAGGCATGTGCAAACCCAGGCCTATGGGCCGGACATAGCCCTTTGGAGTCTCATGGCCAGCCTCCATCTGTTGTAGTCCTCCTCTCAGCATGTGGATGTGGTCGCCTATGGCATGTGGAAGTGGCGGCTGAGAGGAGAGTTGAGGAAAAAACATGCAACTGGCTACATGCTACAGAGTTGTTACCAGCCACTTGTCTCCTCCCCCTCTTCTCTGCTTGGGAAAGTGGCGATCTGCTGCCTCCCCAGGTGGAGAAGAGCGTGGAGGGGAAGGCAGGCCACTGCCAGAGAGATCTCTAACAACGGCCTGTTTCCTCTTCTTCTTGTTGCTACTAAAGGTTTGCAATGTACTTTTCCTAAGTTGTGGAAAGGATCAGGGCTGTTTCTGTTACAGCTGACACAGTTAATTAATGGGATAATTGAGTGTATTGTTATCTCATGTATATAGTAAGTCACTGTGTGTTTGTACTTTGAGTTTTGCATTCTCCGTGTTTAAGCATTACGTTTGTATGCTTTGCTTGGGGCTCGGTTTGAACTGAAAAACTTTTGTTTGTTTGATGCCGGGAGAAGTTACTGCAAGCGTCCAGAGCTGAAGATAATGCAGCAAGTCAAGGTCACTCTACGGACAACTGAGTAAAAGAGACTGCATATTGTTTTTGTTACAAGTTTGCTTATCAATGTGGAATGAAGACAACTCACCGAAGCGACTGCTTTATGTTATGTTTTTGGTGAGAGCAATTCTTCTGTTTTGTTTTGTATGCTGTGAATACAACTTTATTTCTTTTCTACTTAAAGCTGAAGACTCGTGTGTTTTTCTTTTATGAGTTACTTTATCACACATAGAATTACAAGGGCTAGAGTTAGTCTGTGGGCTACTTATGCTAAACGCTGACATTTCTTCCTCTCCCCGCTTGGGAAAGCAGTGGGCTGCCATCTCACCAGTCAAAGAATGGTATGGAGGGGAAGGCAGGCAGCTCTCAGAGAGATTTCTAGCAATGGCCTTTCTCTTCTCATATTCTTCCCTGCTAGCGGGGACAGTGGCCCATCACCTTCCCAGTCGGAGAAGGGTATGGAGGGGAAGGAAGGCCGCTGCCAGAGAGATCTCCAGCAATGGCCTGTCTCCTCCTCCTCCTCTTCTCTGCCTGGGAAGGTGGCAGGCCACCATTTCACCAGGCGGAGAAGAGTGCAGACAGGAAGATAGGCTGCTGTCAAAGAGATGTCTGGCAACAGCCTGTCTCCTCCTCCTCTTCTTTGCCTGGGAAAGTGGTGGGCCACTGTCTCCCCAGACAGAGAAGGATGTGGAGGGGAAGGTAAGCTGATGCCAGAGATCTCTGCCTGTCTCCTCCTCCTTCTTTCAGTCAGGCCTCTACTATGGCTAAAAGGAGTAGGGCGAGGGACAGGTGTTACTGAGAGCTTCCTCTCGGCAATGGATGTCTCCTCCTCTTCTGTTCAGCCTGGAAGAAGGACTAGTGTTGCTGAGAGAAAGCTCTTGACAATGGCCCGAGGAAGAGAGGTGCCAGCTGAAATGGCTCTGCTGCCCTTTCAGCTAGTGTCTCCCTACCTTGCCCTTTTCTTGACAAAAGGAGGGGGCTCACCTCTTCCTTCTGCAGGGAGAATGGCTTGAACCTGGAAGGCAGACAGCATTTCAAAGAGCTGGAGAGCCCTATAATATGCTTTCTGCCTTTTCCTCCTCTCATCATAAGGATGGGGTGAGTAGCTCCAGTCATATGATGGTAGGAAACACAGCTTAGTGATAACTGACCCCTTCCCCCTCACACCCAACTGCCTCCCTGCCCCTGTCCTTCCAGCCCTGCTCCCTCCCTACGCCACCCAGCCCTTCCCTTCTGGCATCCAGCCCTGCCCACACTCCCCCCTGGCTGTTTCAGCTGGGTCCACAAGGCAGCCCCAGGACAAAAAAGTTTGCCCATGCTGCTCTAACCACTGCAGTAGTCTACCATATATTGTGCAGCTATGGAATAAGTCTCCAAAGAGACCACCAAACACAGTGCCCAGATACGAAACAAAGAACATGAAAGGCATTTCAGACTAATTCAACCAGAGAAGTCAGCTATAGCAGAGAACTCAATGAACCAACCTGAACACAGAATATTATTTGAAAACACAGAAATTCTGAGCCACTCTGACAACTATTATGTCAGACTACACAGAGAAGCCATTGAAATTCATAAGCATATGAACAATTTCAACAGAAAGAAGGAAAACATGAAAATGAATGAAATCTGGTTACCAGTATTCAAAATCACCAGAATCAAGATAGTAAGTTAGGAGCACTACTCAGAAACAGGCGAACTCCAAACAGCAAGCAATCAAGTGCCAGTTAACACTTCCCAAACAGAAGATGCCTTCAGGCAAAAGCGGCAAGGCTACCTCTATGCAGATACCCTCACTGGTTGACCTTGCAGCTTCATGGCTACTCAATGTTATTGAAGCTTGCTAATTGCAATGTTCACACTTGTTTTAAACAGACAAAGGTTCTTTCTTCCACTCTGGACTATCTATCTATCATCTATCTATCTATCTATCTATCTATCTATCTATCTATCTATCTATCTATCCACACACACTCCATTTGCCTCACTGCCAACAGAACCTCTGAAGATGCCAGCCACAGATGCAGGTGAAACATTAGGAGAGAATGCTACTTGAACATGGCCATATACCATGCAGCACACCCAAATACCTGGGAGTCACTCTGGACCGTGCTCTTACCTACAAGAAGCACTGCCTGAACATCAAGCAAAAAGTGGGTGCTAGAAACAATATCATACGAAAGCTGACTGGCACAACCTGGGGATCACAACCAGACACAGTGAAGACATCTGCCCTTGCGCTGTGCTACTCTGCTGTTGAGTACGCATGCCCAGTGTGGAACACATCTCACCACACTAAAACAGTGGATGTGGCTCTTAATGAGACATGCCGCATTATCACGGGGTGTCTGCGCCCTACACCACTGGAGAAATTACACTGCTTAGCAGTATTGCACCACCTGACATCCGCCGGGAAGTAGCAGCCAATAGTGAAAGGACCAAGGCAGAGACATCTCCAGCTCATCCCCTATTTGGGTATCAGCCAGCACGTCAACGACTTAAATCTAGAAATAGTTTTCTAAGATCTACAGAGACACTCGCCGGAACACCTCAGCAAGCGAGAGTCCAAAAGTGGCAGGCTCAAACCCAGAACCTCAATCAATGGCTGATACCAAATGAGAGACTCCCCCCTGGGCACACAGAAGACTGGGCGACTTGGAAGGCGCTGAACAGACTGCGCTCTGGCACCACGAGATGCAGAGATCTTAAGAAATGGGGCTACAAAGTGGAATCCATGACATGCGAGTGTGGAGAGGAGCAAACCACTGACCACCTGCTGCAATGCAACCTGAGCCCTGCCACATGCACAATGGAGGACCTTCTTGCAGCAACACCAGAAGCACTCGAAGTGGCCAGCTACTAGTCAAAGGACATTTAATCAACTACCAAACTCACAAATTTTGTGTTTTGTCTGTTTGTTTGCTTTGCTCTGCTAGAAATGTAATATAATTGACTGGGTGCCCTGACATGACAAATAAATAAATAAATAAATAAATAAATAAATAAATGGCCATACAGTTTGAAAAACTCACAACATCCCAGTGAAAACCTTTAACAACACACTGTTATTTAACATTCATCACATGACGTGTATAACCACCTCTGTGGTCCAGCCACTTTTTGATTTGATTCCTATTTTTGTATATGAGATGTGTTAAGATTAACACATGCTTTGGCATTTACAAACATTTAGTTTTCCCACTGTTTTGATGAACTGTGAATTTGAAAGAAAGATTGGTTACCTCTATCGGTAAGATGTCTCCTTCCATGGGGAATTCTGTTTATTGTCAAATAATAATTATCTTCTGTCAAGACTTCATACTCTTCACTGGGATATCCTCTGTAGACAATTATCTGACTCTGAAAGGAGAAAAAAAAATAACCCATGAAGTGCAATAGTAGGGAAAAAACCAGAGAACTCCTTACAGGTGGATTGATCCTATCAATGAAGCCACAGCTCTGAGTTTTTAAAACCTGAGGAGGGAAGTTCTACTTATTCTAAAAAGGGACAGAGGTCTCTAAACACTTTTGATCCTAAGATCTGACGTAGTTCACTTCCTATTCTCCATGATTATTTGTATTATCAAAATAAAACTTTCACACATCTTCACTGTGTCATGGCTTCTATGAATATCTCCTGTGCCTTTTTCATTAATCTTTGCACTTTCTAAATGTCCGGTAAAACAGAATTTATAATATTTCTGTTGCTGCTGCTGCTATTCTTGTTATTGTTACTGTTGTCAGTTTCAGTCTATCAGCTGATACCAGTTGGAGTTTTGGACTATCAGTGCTTCAAATTCTTTCAAATAATCTAGAAATCAGTGAAGTTTGATTCTATTTATAGATTATGAAAAATGCATATATATGTTTTTACCATAATGGCTTGCACATGGCTTGGATCTATCTGCTAATTGATTTCAGCTTCTGCAAGAGCTGTGAGTTTGGACCCTGGCATGTCTAGTTTTCTGGAAAGCCAAATGAGACAGAGATGGGTTGAAGGCAAAATCAGAGGCTTTTATTCTCAATAGCCAGAGAGGATGTCAGTGGAGACAGTACTCCAAATAATGTACATACTGCAAATGCGAATACATATCACATTTATTGTATTTTGACAGTTAGTCAAGAATGCCATTCTGACCCCTGATTGGCTTAGAAAGTGTCTGTCTAAACTTCCAATTGACCAATGAACAAAGAGAATATATATATAAACCAATTACAATTGAAGAAATTGCCAAAGTAATAGCAAAATCAAAATCAAATAAATCCCCAGGACCAGATGAATTCACAGAACTTTCTTACAAGAAATTTGAAAATTAACTAATAGGGCATATGCAGAAGTTATTCAACTCAATTCTAGAAGCCAGTAAAATTCTGGATCCATAGTTACACTTATACCAAAAGAAGGACAAGCACCAATGGATCCAAACAACTATAGATGAATATATTTATTAAATAATGATTAGAAAATTTTCACAACAGTTTTAGCAAAAAGACTTTAAAATTTCTAGATAAATTCATATAAGAAGATCAGACAGGCTTCCTTCCTAAAACACATATTCAAAACAATCTAAGAGTGGTCTTGAACACAATTAAAAACCTGGATAAACACAATTAAAGAAAAACAGTACTAGTGTTCATAGATGCAGAAAAAGCATTTGATAATTTAAATCGAGAGTTCTTATTTGCAACTCTAGAAAAAAATGGAATTTGGAACATGATAAGATGGATTAGAACAATGTACAAAACACAAGCCTCCAAAATTTTAGTGGAGAATTGTCTAAAGAATGTAATGTTGTTATTCCTCTTGGTGTTTGATGTGTTATTAAGGAAAATAAGAGAGGAGGGGGGGGGGGAATCAAAGGCCCGAAAACTACATACTAAATAAAATGCATGTAGACTAAACTATATGGAAAGATATATTTAAAATATTTTTGTGAAAATACGGTTGAACTGTTATAGAATTAAAGCCATTAAAATCAATAGCATGGCAAATCACTAGAATAGCATGCTATAAAAAGCTCTTGCTATTATTTCTGAATATTCTGTGAAATATGATAGCTTACAACATTCATATGGGCTTCGGGATTCACATCTCTTTTTGTCCTGGTTAATTCTTGTGAAATTCCAATTGTTTGTATGAGGCAAGCTGTTGCCATAAGCCACCACATCTTCTTTCTGCTTCTAGGGGGTGGGCTACAGAGAAAAAATAACAAATGCATCACTACAACAGAAATAGTGATAAAAGATATGCATTGAACTGAATGCTTTCTGTCTAAAACTTAGAATTGACTGAAGACTTCATGACTACTCTTTATGATAGTATGAACAGATTCAAACCAGCAATTAATTATACATCATGGAACAGATCTTGTACCCAAATGAATCCTATGAGATCTCCTTTTCCCTTTTTAAATGTTATTAGGAGAAGCAGGGACTCCTAGAAAAAATGAGGTGGCATTGGAAGAACCATGGCAGTCAATCTTGATGCCCCTCAAAGATAGGACCTTCATGCTTCAGAAAATGAAGTGGACATGAAGATACCACTATTGAAAGGAATGTGCTTCTTCCATCACACTGGCTGCACAATGAAGTTTAAATACGAAAGTAAATAATAGACCACTAGACTTAAGAAAAAGGTATTCTTGGTAATGATAAATTACAGAACCTTCATGAAATTTGATAGGAAAATACAGAATTTAATTTCCACCTTGACAGCAACAGCACATCTTATACACAATTCAGGATTAGTAACTAGAAGCTTTCTTTCACTTCTCTTCTCTCTCTCTTCATTTTGCTAAAGATTTCTTCAGTTCCCAAATTTTACTCTCTCTTCGTATCCCTATCTTGCTAGAAGTATACTCTTCTATG